AAGCCAACCATTTCGGGGGTCTGGGAATTTTTTGAAGGCATACGATGAATGGCAAATACAATAAATTTATTCATCAAAAACAGCTAAACTAGAGGTAAGAAAGTAGGGGTCTATGGCATTCTTGCCTGTGTATGTTACTAACCTTCCTCCCCAGCCATGTTTGTACATTAATTCATTTCCTATGAAAATCCACAGCTTTGCAATAGGAGGAAACTCATTTAATGTGGAGAAAAGGGTGAAAAACCCCACGCCCAACAGCAATGTCAACAACAGTAGCAATTTTGGTAGTAAACGAAAGGGAAGACCTGCAGATCCACCAGCTTAGCACTGCCCTCCTGGTTGAGGCAAGCAACAAATCAACTCACTAGACAGAAATGCGACACTCAGGAAATGAGTGTGTCACGGAGGGCGCCTTCAGAGGCTCTCAGAACACTTGCCTACAGTGAGTCTGGGCTGTGGACTCACAGGAATGCTGGCACAAAGTAAAAGTCAAGGTGAACAAGAAAATGGACCACTTTTTTATCCCCAGTGCTCACAGTGCCATCAGGAGATGCCAGAGCTGTAGTAACACAGGGGTCTAAGTATAAACTCTAAGCGATCAATAGTTCACCACTAAGCAGTATGGACTCAGCACATTCCTAGAAAGCCAGGGTTAAAACTAAAAGCAAAAGGGAAAAACATGTGGGTGGATATGGTGGAGCACACCTGTAATCCCAGCTACTTGGGAGGTTGAAATTTGGAGGACTACACTTCGAAGCAAGCCTGGGCAAAACATTAGCAAGAACACTTGTCAACCACTAAGGCAAATATAGTGGTACACACCTATAATCCAGCTACACAACAGGCCATAGGCAGGAAGATCATGGTCTGATGCCAGCCTGGGAAGAAAATGAGAGGCCAATCTGAAAAATAACCTCAAGCAATAAAGGGCTGGAGCAAATCTCACATGGTAGACTGCCTCCCTAGCAAGAGGAGTTCAAATCCCAGTACCTCAAAAAAAAAAAAAAAAAAAAAAAAAGAAAAACATGAACAGAGATACTGCTATCTCAAAAGTCTGAGGGAATCAGACTCCACAAATTTGGTCCAACAATAAATCACAAGAAAAATTTAAGGCAAAAAAAAACCAGCAGTAACAACCTTCTAGGAAGAAATTAAATCAGGATTCAGATTTGCTGCAATGTGTACCCAAAATCTAGAGTTTTCCCCTGAAGATTATTAAAAATAAAGGTTTTATAAAAATAAAGATTACATTTAATAATGTTTATATATGAAAATAAAAATAATAAAATCTAAAGTTTTCAACAAAAACAAAAGCCATGCAAAGAAAGGAAAACATGACCAATTCCTGGGGTAGGGAGGAGCAGTCAAAGATACTGTTAGAGGGCTGGACTTGGGGCGTGAAAGCTGAAAGCATGTGATTCTAGCTACTAGGAGATAGAGGTTACAAGGAGACAGGATCCTGGTTCTAGCCTGGCCTGAACAAAATTAGCACAGGACCCTGTCCGAAAAACAAATTAAGAGCAACAGGACTGGGGAGCATGGCTCAAGTGGTAGAGCACTTGCCTAGCAAGCACAAGACAGAAAGAAAAGGAAGAGAAGGAGGGAGGTGGGAAAAGAGGGAGAAAGGGAAGGAGGGAGAATGGGAGGGAACTACTAATTAACTTTTGGAAAGGGCCCAGATATTGAACTTGCAAAAGAAGAAATGAAAATTCAATGTCTGCAATGAAAACCTCTCTAGAGGAGCTTGACAGTAGATTTAAGATGGCAGAAGAACTCGTAAACTTGAAATCAGGTGAATAAAAATGATCCACGTTGAGGAGCACAGAAAAAAAGGATGAAGAAAATAAGCCTGAGACTCTGGGCACCACACATAGGGTAATCCAGGGTGAAATGCCAGAGTAAAAAGACAGAAATACTCAAAGAGATAGACTGAAAACTTCCCACATTTAAATAAAAACATAAATTTATGGATCCATAGAGCTTACATATCAAAGGCAAAATAGACATATCACAGTCAAATTGCTGAAAATCAAGACAAAGTTTTGGTTTAAAAAACAATAGATCACATACAGAAGCACAAGAAAATGACTAATGATTTTCTTACCAAAAATAAGGGGGCCAGAAGGTAGCAGAGTGGCATAATCAACATGCCCGGGGAAAAGCTGTCCACCAAGAATGGCATATCCTACTTTTCAGTGTGGAGGTGAAATAAAGTCATTGAGAGAAAAACAAAACTGAAAAATGTTTCCTAGTACATCTAGGTTAAAGGAAAGACTAACAGAAGTCTGTAAGTCTCAAAAAACAGACAAACAAACAAACAAAACCAGTCCTGTATAGCAGCTCTATCCACAGGAAGAAATAAATACCAGAAATGGCAAATGTGAGGATTAATATAAGACTATAAAAATATTGTACTATAATCTAATACCCCTCATAATTACAGACAAAAATCTTTAGCAAATTCATAGTAAGCCATATCCAATAATAAATAAAAAGCACTAAATAACATGACAAAGGGAAATGACAATCTGGATTTACATATGGAAATCAACTAATGTAATACACTATTATTAACAGAAAATTGAGGGGGAAAAAAGCACATGAGTGTCTGAATGGGCAGAGAAAGCACTGGACAAAACTCAACACTCATGTTATTCAGGATAAAAACTCTCAAAAACTAGGAACAGGAGAGGACTTTCTCAGCATGATAAAGGTCAGCAATAAAAATCTGGTGGCCATTGTCAAAGGACTGAATGCTTTCCTCCTGACTCAACCAGCAACAAGCCAGTGTACTATGAAATGGAGGCCAGACAGGAGAAGAAAGGAGAAGGGAAGCGCCGAGAATTATTAATGACATCCAGAATGGAAAGAAAGAAGTAAATCTGTCTTTTGTACCAGGTGCGGTGATTCTGTATGTCATGGCATCCTAATAACATCATTAATTAGGGTTCTGCTTCATCGTTCTAATGATTCCATTAAAAAGCAGTGATCTATGAAGCCTGCTTATCAGGGTCACAAGATATGAGATCAATATGTATAAATCAACTGCATTCTTGGACACTAGTAGCATCTGAAAATGAAATTAAAAGACAATTTCATTCACAGTAGTATTGAAATCATACAATATTCAGAAATTATTTTTACAAAATAAATGTGAAGCCAGCACCCAGAAAACACTGCTGGGAGATATTAAAGAGAATCTTTTTTAAAAAGTAGAGAAACAGAGTTTATATTCGTGGATTTGAAGATTCAAAATAAAGATAAAAATTAATCCCAAATAGATCTACAGACTCAACACAGAATCTATATACCCCTCCCAGCACAACAATTAAAAAAAAGAAAAAAAAGTCTAGCAGGATGTTTATATAATAACAAGCTGATTCTGAAATAAATGTGAAAATGCAAAGGAACAAGAACATCCAAAACAATTTTCAAAAAAAAACCACTTGGAGAATTGACACAACCTGGCTTTGAGATTCACTAAAAGGATAAAGTAATTAAAAGGAAACTACTGCATAAAAACAGGCATATAAACCAATGGAACAAAACTGAGAACAGAAATAACCCAGACTTCTATGTTATTTTCGATAATGGTACCAAGGTAATTCAATAGGAGAATGGATGGTCTTTCCCCCATATGATGTTAGGACAACTGATTATCTATGCAGAAAAAGGGAAATTTATATCCTAACCTCACACCATATACAAAAATTAACTCAAAAAGGCCACAATCTTAAATGAAATGATACTATAAAACATTTAGAAGAAGACAGCAGAAAGTCTTTGTGACTTTTTTTGGCCAGCCCACATTCAAGGTTAGGGAACTTAGATCCCATCTCTGGGAAGGGGCTGTAAAGGTCATTGGATGGAAGGAAGGTAGAAGTGGAGCTCTCTTTGGAAAACAGAATTTGCTGTAGTTGCAATTTTATAGTTCTTCATGTGATTGTATGATTCATATCTGTCTTTCTGTCAAACTACAAACTCCTTGAGGGTAGGAACCATGTCTTTTTGTAAGAACTAAAGAGAGTATTAGTCATCGCCAGCTCCCTTGTTACTAAATCATGCCATTTCATGTTATGACCTTTTGAAAACAATCACGATTTTTAAAATACCATTTTCTTAGGAATGTAACAGATGCTTCCTCATAAACAACATAGCACATTCAGTTTTAGGTCAATGTACCAGCCAGCCTGGGACCAATGAGGACACACTCTTACCCCAGACAGCTGCTGGGCACGCGTGCTGGCTTCTCTAAAATAAATTGCCTACAGAGCCAAAACTTTGTGCGCTTTCGTTTATGATGAGCATACAAATCAAACAAAAGCTCTTTAATTGCTAGCATATAAAGCACACAACAAACTTAAATTAACTTTCAAAACAGAGGTAGAGATATTCACTTCCTTAGCGAGGTCAGGGTGTCTGAAAGGGTTAAAAAAAGCAGATTATCAACTGCTACCAGAACATAAAACACCTGGCAGGAGCTCATTTAATACCCACACAGGGCGGGTCCCCTCCGGCCTCACTGTATGCATGACATGCTGTTCTGAAGTCATCTATTGATATTTCTATTTTTTTCCCCTGAACTACCCTTTGAGGTTAGGGACTCCTTTTACTCATGTTTGCACACCCACCACCAAGCACAGGGCTTGGCACATGGGAGGTACGAATGGATTTGTGGAAAACAAAGAGTATGTGAGATATTTTCATGTTCTCCTAACGGCTTACCACTTGGGAGTCCCAAAACCTGAACCACTGATTCTATTCTTCAATTTAGCCAACTAATTTTAACAGTATTATTTAATTTCTCCTGAAACCCCATCACCTCATACATAAATAAGAGAGAATGCTAAACAATACTCTGCAATCTACTGAGATGATAAATGTGAAGCTTTCACCAGAAAAAGGAGCACTCAGATAGGAACTATAGACAAGGATTATCTAAGATTAAAATAAGGAAACGACTTTAGAATACAAATTAACTGTCAATAAAAACTACTAACAGGGATGAGGAACTTTTTGATCTCTTCCAGAGCATGTCCCATCCGGGCATAGGCTTCTGCTGGGGGGGCAAACACCTCGATGAGCACGTGCAGGTCATCATTCAGGTGAAAGTACTTTGCTTCCCCACTTTTCCTCAATTCTTCTTCCTACAGAAAGAAAAACCACATTGAAAAGTGTATCATCATAAGAAAAGAAAGGAGAAACTACTCAAAAGGAATATGCCATGAGGCTGTCACAGCAGTTTCACTCAAGAACAAATGCTATCCTAAGACAGGTCTTACTTCTGCTGCTGGCCCAGAGGTCCATCCATCATCCCTGGGCAATCTGCTCGGCCTCTTCAATTGCTCCAGTTGCTGCACAGACCTTCTTTGTTTCCCACCCTGGCTAAGTACTAAGTTCCCATCTTCACTGGCTGTGCTATGTGACTGTGATGCTGTTACAAAGCATTTGTCACTACCTAAAACATCAGAAATACCTTAACTGCACTCTCCTATTTTCCTTCACTGGCAGCTGACTGCCACAGGTGCATGGCACCTGTCTTATCTAGTGGTGCACATCCACACAGGAGATGCTCAACAAGTGTCTGATGAATGAATGGCTAAACACTAACTCACCTATTTCTGTGTACATTTGCTCATTCAATATTCATTCTACATGCAAGCACTGCTCGGAGAATAAAATGGTGAATAAAATAAATGAAATGATTTTACGTAATTATCTCAAAGTTGTTAGACTTTTTTTCTTTATAGAATGAAATTCAGGAGAAAATTAGAAGAATTAAAACAACAACAAAAACAAAAAAACCCAACCAGATAGTTAAAGAACTACTGATTTGGCTCTATTATCTTTTCCTAACTAAACTTCAATTATAGGCCATGATTTCTAGAATCAGGGTCTTCTATTAGTCTTTATTTCAAACTTTAAAATCAAAACGATTAAGTTAGCAGGAACTCATGTCTAAAATGATTTCCAAACAGTGGTATGTCTTGCTGACCTCTTCAAAAGAAAACCTATTGCATGAGAGAGGCAACCCCAAGAACTCCTGAGATGGTACCTTTTAATTCCTCCATTAGCCAAAAGTCCAACAATACAAATGCTGGAGGAACGGGTCCCTTGAACTTCATTCTTTATGGTCTCAGCTGTGCTTAACTAATTTGAATTCTTAAAATGAAAAGGACTAACATGGAGAACATGAAAAAGTACAGAATCTTAACTATACTAGTCACAGTATGAAAGCTTAGAGATTATCTGTAATCTGATAATCTGAAAAGTCAGTCTGGTATTAGTACATGTACATTAGTGCAGGGCCATTAAGAACACAGGGGATAGGTGATATGTCTGTCTGTCCAAAAGAGACAGTGTATATAATATCTAGGTTATTGCCTAATAAACAGTAAGCACCCAATTAAATGGTATTTTCCTTCACATGTGTGGAAAGTAGATTACAGAATAAAAGAAAAGAACAAATTGAAAGTAACTATGGGCTCAAATAACATTCTATACATTTTTCCTTAGAAATTTGTCTGAAGATTTATAAAAAAAAAATTCTTTAATGTCAACTGTTCATTGTTAAAATCAGAACATTTCAACAATTTGATCCGAAACCTTTTCATAGCTGAAGCTTTAAAAATTGGATTCGATGCATAGCAGTTCATCTCTGAAAATATGAAAGACTTAAAAACATTTATCTTCTCCCAACCTAGTAGTAAAATAAAGATTTTATTGAGAGATTGTAACTGTTGGTTCATATTCACACATTCTCACTTCTATCACAAATTTCAGCTGGGAAAGGGAGGATGTCTTACTACAACTCTAGCTTCTGTACAATTCTATACAGTGAGGAATTCTCACCAGAAAATTTTATGGGTTAAGGGTAAGGGGTAATGTGGTATTCAGGGAAGAAAACAGACTTTGAAGCTCTGCACTCAAAACCTAAATGTAGCATTTATTATATGACTTGGGCAGGTTAGTTCACCTTAACATTGAAGGGGTGATTTTTAATGGGGATAGGAATAGTACAGTGTCTATCTCTATGGGTTGCTACAGTAAGTATGCCATAGAATTATGCCTAATGCATAAGCATACAAAATGTAAATAAAGATATTCACATAACAATCATAATAATTATTCTGTTGTTTTTTTAATATATGCCAGAATGTCGAGCATGATGTTTGACACAGCTAAAGGCTCAACAGACCACAACATAATCTTGATGACTGGTGACACAGCTAGCCGATACAGATCAGTTACGAATCCTATAATTTCACCAATGTAGCAAATATAAGAATAAAATGAAATAAGTTTCAGATAGACTTTGTAAGAAAGCCAACACTTGGAGAATCTCAAAGGATGAGATCTTTTAGAATGAGATTTTAGCTAAGTAAAGAGAATCCCTTTAGAAATATATTTTTAAACTGAGAATCTATGCAGATTGAAATTAAACTAGTAATTTAAACTAATAAAAAGGATCAATATTTAAGACTTCAAGCAGTGAGGATCAAATTATAAGATAGCAAATGGAATACTGCTTAAAAAGCAAAACTCTTACTTAAGTTATTCCCTGTGGTCACCTTCAGTGACATGCTCTGGCAAGTTTAACTGATGGGCCATGTGGAAAGCAACAGCATGGTGTGATGGGCAAGAGTTAAGGGAAGCTTCTGGGATGGAATGTAAATGCAATTTCCTGCTGTATTCGAGATTTAAAAAAAAGAAATGACAACCTTAGCGCTTGCTTTGGTTTAAATTTTGAGTGTCCCCCAAAGGTCCATGTGCTAAAGACCTGATTCCTACAGAGGCGCTACCAGGAAATGGGAGAAATGTTAAGAGTTGGGGAGGTTTTCAAGTCACTGGGGATGTTGCCTTGGAAGAAATAATGGGATTAAACCCTCTTCCTGTCTTTTGCTTCCTGGCCATGAAGTGAGTGGTTTTGCGCTGTTAACACTTTTAAGCCATGATGTACTCTCTTGCCACCAACCCCAAAAGAAGGAAGTCAACTGATTATGGGCTAGTAAGTACCTCCAAAACTGTGAGCCAAAAATCAAGTTTCTCTCTTTAGAAGTTGATTATTTCAAGTATTTATTATGGTGAAGGAAATCTGACTAACTCAGGGCTTTATGTTACCAGTGCAAGGCTTAAAGAGCCAGAAATATCCTAGAAGGTTTTACTGCTTGTTAACCAAAGATGAATGGAGCCAACAAACAGTGGCAGAGTTCAATCTGTATACTGAATGACAGTGAAGATTCCTACACCTTTTTAGGTGAGATTTAGGATAATGTCTGGTTAGCAGTGAAAATCTGAGAAATGGACTGGCAACATTTGGATGGATTAAAAAAATTCTGAATATCCAAACGCTGAAACCCTACAGAGCTTTCTACACTGGCTAGTCTACCTGGTGAGACTCTTTGACATTGCATGAACCAGAGACAGTTCCTTGAAAGGACACAACAAATGTCATGCTTTAGTTCTACTTCTCCTTGTGTACTTTCTGGACCATAATCAGATCCCTGATTGCTCCACAGATTCAGAGCATAAGAAAACAAATCCAGAGAATAGGCTACATGTACACAATAACTGTCACATCCCCTACCATGTGACACTTTCTCATAGTCTTTGTACCAAGGATATGGAACCTTCTTCTAGAGTATCTGCCCAATGAGGAGAAAAACCACCACAACAGTGTGAGAATCAACAAACTTGACTCTGATTTAACACTGCTCCACAGAGAGCTACGGATCAGAGTGCGCTTGCAAAGTCAAAGTCAAGAGATACATGGACTTCTGGTCCTAGTCCATTGAGAGCGGGCTGAGAACATTGATTGTACATGTATATGTAATATATTCCTCCAGTTGCTGATGGAATAAGAATGATCAGCCAATTAGAGAATCCCCCAAATAATCTGGTGACCCATGTGATCAGATCAGATACAGAAATAAGAGGACTACTGAGTGGGTAATAAGTGGTCTGGAAAAGCGATCTTAGTGTGAAAAACAAGGTCCCTAAGCAGATGCAGAGGGACTCCATGACCAGGCAGTCATGAGGACCCATTGTGGAAGATGCCTGGTTCCTCGTTCTTCAGCTATCTCATGATGCTCCGGGTATGTATTCATAAACAAAGTGACTAGAGTGATGGAGACAGAAGCTATGTATTATTTCACAACATAGACTCTTGTTGAGAATGACTGGCTACTGCCATTCCTGAATGTCTAAAATACCAACAGCAGAGGACAACCACAAACCCATGCTATGTCAACATAATTTGGAAAGATCACTAAATTCTGATTCCAAGTTGATAATATTTAGGATCCCTTTCATTATATTCACAGGTAGGCACTTACTGTTCTTTGAATATATAATCTAGTAAAGATCTGCCTTCTTTGCATGTCTTTCCCATGTGTAAAATTATTGGTGAATGCCCTGATCACTATCACTGAATGACACAAAACACTGCTTCTGACCAAGGAACCCCCTTAACTACACACAACAGAAGTACATGATGGATTCCTGTCTATGGGCTTCACTGCTCATATCATGTACTCTTTTACCAGATTGCTTTATTAAGGCTTGAATTAAGATATCAGCATGTGGAGTACTTTCCTATAAGATAAATGTAATTTCTGACCAAGTAACCAATATATGGTTCCATTTTCTTCTATCACCAGAATAAAAGAGTTGGAGAATTTAAGTAACATCAATTGGAATAACAATGCCTAGCAAGCAGTGAACAAAGCATGGTCATGAATTAGAATCATTAAAACATACTGAAAATTCATTTTGAGTGTCTATCCTAAATTTCTTGCATCTGTGAATCTGTATTTTTAAACTGTTCTCCATATGAGTCTGGTGTTAGAAAATCATAAGTTATTAACTGTTAACCAACTAATACAATGAATTTCTCTGGTTAAACAAGATAATACTTCGAGTTCTATGAATCTCAGTTTTCTTATATGTAAAAATAAGAAAAATGTTATCCTCTATCATTTTTCCCAAGGATAACATGGAGCATTGGGTATAAATTGTTTCACACCATGCCTGACTATCACTGGATGATCCATAAACACAGTGACGTTTTTATTATAAAGGATATTACTTGAACTTTTTTTGTGAAGAGGCTGGATTTCATTTAAATAATTGTACTTCTAAAACTGTCATTATTTAACATTTGATGACAAATGATCACTGAATGTAGATTTAGTTCTCAGTTATAAAAGAACAAGTGACAAGAAAGAAAAATGTAAGTGACATATTATGATATACAAAAATTTCTTTCAGAAATTTAAGAAAGCGGTTCAAAAATAACTTAGTAATGATTAGCCTGTCAATAAACCAGGGCATTTAATATAAATAAATCCAAATTAGAATAAATACGTTTTAGAATACTAAGGTGACATATTACTTTTAGAACCAAAAATATGAACATTCATATTTTAGTTAATGTAGAAACATTACAGTTACAGGTTTAAGACACTGCATAATTTGAAACTGGCCAGAGTGACTCAATTATCTAGGTATCACAAATATATAACCTGATATAACTTTTTTATCTTTTGGCAGCACTGGGGTTTGAACTCAGGGCCTCAAGCTTACTAGGCAGGCACTCTGCCACTTAAGCCATTCTGCCAACCCTTTTATAACATTTTCATGTAATTCCATCTGATTTAGCTTGTATATACTAGGTGTTAGTTAACTTAATATGTACATACATAGAAGGACATATTATTACTGATCAGAAACTCATGGTCTATAATGAGTATTACCTTTGCCTTGTCTCTCATGGAACCTTTTCCAAGGATGGACATTTTTGTCAAGGTTTCTTCTTGTAAACGCTTCAGAGAATTGCCACGTGGACCCAAAAGTTTCCCCACAAAGTTGAACTAGGAAAAACCAACCAACCAAATTTGTAACATTCATGTCTTAAAAATAGTTTATCAGTCTTGAAAATCAGGAAACACTGTAGTATGCTACACATCAATCATTAATGACAAATATTAAAGTTCCTGCCATGCACACCATGCTATAATATTTTCCACAAGTCACAAAAATGCAGCTAAAAAATGTAAAATAAAAAAGGTTATCTTTATAGCAGTCATTTTAGCAATGGCTCTATTTCATAAATTGTTAAGTGGAATTCATTTCCCAGAATTCCTAGTTTGCTACTGTATCGACTATGGACAGGGTTAGAGTGCAGGTAAGGAAATGCACAGACATACTGTAGTATGTACTAGACTGGTTATTAGGAAACACTTCGGTTCTTAACCTTGGCCACCACTTACAATTCACCCAGTGAGGGCACTGACCTGCGTGTGTAAGTCTTAGTCATTCAGTGGCTGACAGAGGACTCACAATAATCCATTTATCTCTTCCAAAATAACTAGATGTGGGAATGCAGACAGTTCATAGCCAGACCTAGAAGCCTAGGTTTCTTATTTAACTAACAGTACAACCATACAGGTTAGACTGTCATTTTTCAAAACCTGGCTTTTCCATTTACTTTTACTATAGCTAAGTTACCCTGGGCAAGCTTTACCTAACCTCCATACTCTTCACATTGGTTCAATCATCTGTAAAATAGCAATAACAATAGGACCTACTCATTCAGGCCTCCTCTGAAGATTAAGGGGGTCAATATAAACAAATCATTTTGCGTTAGAGCAATGCTTGGCACATAGTAGACAATAACTGCATTCAGAATGAGGGAATCATAACTAGAAATTTCACAGTTTTTAAAAATTTTACTGTATTTAAGGTAAATTATAAACTTCCACTGCCAAATAGAAACTCAGCCTGCTTACTTGGAGGAAACTGTTCTCTGGCAAGAGTCTTGATAAACTCTTGGACAGCTGCTGCTTCTGCAGTGAGCTTTGCCACTATTGTGCTATTGCTGTTTTAAAGAGAACATTGTTCTTCAATTTATCTACCTATGGCAGTTGAAATAACCTTCTTGAAAGGAGTTAACACTTCAAAAAGTCAAAATGATTATATTTTCTTTGCCCAGTTTTAATTTTATTTTGCTTAAACCAAACACAAATATGGGTAGTCATTTAGTGGCTGACAAACAATTCACTAAAAAATCAATTTGTCTCTTCCGGAATAACTAGGCATGGGGATGTGGGCACTTCATAGTCAAACTGAGATGTCTATGGCTTCTTATTTAGTAAGCAGACTGGAACTGAATCAACTAACAGAAAATGTATTTTTTTTTTATTTAAGCTGTGAAGAAACTAGGAATATAAGAAATAAAGGCTATATATGACAAACCTATAGTCAACATTACACTAAATGAAGAGCAAATGAAACCATTACTGCTAAAGTCAGGAACAAGTCAGGAATGACTGCTTTCCCTACTCCTATTGAATATAGTTTTGGAATTCCTAGCTAAAGCAATAAGATAAGAGCAAGAAATAAAAGGGATTCAAATAGGTAAGAAAGAAGTAAGTTTTTATTTGGAGATGGTAAATCCTATACCTACCCCACCAAGAAACTCTTAGAAATCATAAACTCTTTTGGCAAAGTAGCAGGAAACAAAACTAAAATACAGAAATCAGTAGCGTTCCTATATACCAACAATGAACAGCCTGAGAAAGAAATCAGGGAAATAATCCCATTTACAATAGCCTCAAAGAAAATATAAATACCTAGGAATAAGTTTAATGAAGGAAACCAAAGATCTTTTCAAAGAAAATTGTAAATCACTGAAGAGAGAAATGGAAGAAATATCAATCCTGAAATTCCTATGGAAACACAAAAGATCCCAAATAGCCAAAACTATTCTGTGTAAAAAGTCCAGTGCTGGAGGTATCACAATTCCTTGACTTCAAACTATACTACAGAGCAATAGCAATACAAACAGCATGGTACTGGCACAAAAACAGACAGGAAGACCAATGGATTAGAATAGAAGACCCAGACATAAATCCATGCAGCTACAGCCAACTGACCTTTAACAAAGGAGCCCTAAGCACATGATGGAGAAAAGAAAGCCTCGTTAACAAATGTTGTTGGTAAAACTGGATATCCACTTGTAGAAGACTGACATTGGATCCCTGTCTCTCACCCCATACCAAAATCAACTCAAAGTGGATCAGAGACCTTAATATAAGATCTGAAACTTTGAAACAACTACATGAAGTATTAGGAAATACACTGGAACAGATAGGCATAGGCAACAACTTCCTAAGAAGAATTCAACAGGCTCAGCATCTAAGAGAAACAATGAACAAATGGGACTGCATCAAACTAAAAAGCTTCTGCACAGCAAAGGAAACAGTCCCCAGACTCAAGAGACAGCCCACAGAATGGGAGAAAATCTTTGCCAGCTAGTCATATGATAAGGAACTAATATCCAGAATCTATAGGAAACTCAAAAAACTAAAACCCCAAAGATTCAATATCCCAATGAAGAAATGGGCACATGAATTAAACAGGGAATTCTCAAAGGAACAATTACAAATGGCCAATAAATACATGAAGAAGTGTTCAACTTCCCTGGATCTAAAAGAGAAGCAAATCAAAACTATGCTAATAGTTCATCACACCCTGGTTAGAACGGCCATCTTCAAGAACAAAAAAACAAATAATGCTAGTGAGGATGGGGTGAAACAGGAACTCTTATACACTGCTGGTGGGAACGCAAATTAGTACAACCATTATGGAAAGCAGTATGGAGATTCCTCAAAAAACTAGAGACAGAACCGCCATACGATCCAGTGATGCTGCTCCTAGACATATACCCAAAGGAACTAAGTCAGGATACAGTAGAGACACTTGCACAGCAATGCTTAATCACAGAATAGTTCACAATAGTCAAGTTGTGAAAACAAATACACACACACACACACACACATGTATGTACCACACACACAACGGAGTTTTACTCAGCCATAAGGAAGAATGACACCATGTAGTTTGAAGGTAAATGGATGCAACTGGCGGGCATCATGTTAAGTGAAATACGCCAGGCTCAGAAAGACAAAGGCCACATGTTTTCTCTCAAACGAGGAAGACAGATCCAAAAGATAAACATATACACACAAACAAACATGATCAATTACAAACATATATGTAGAACATGTTCGTAATAGTGGAACTACACTATGGAACTTGAGGAAGGAGGGAAAGAAAAAAGGAATGACAGTTTGTCAACAATATTGTAAAACATAACATCTGTGAAAGTAGAAGATACAAGGATATGTATGGAAAGCTGTTGAAAATGGGAGATGGAAGGGAAGGGGTAAGGGGGAGCAATGGAAGAGGTTGAATGAACCAAAGTAAATTATACTCACTGTGGGGATACATTGAGAAATCCCTTTGAACATCAACTTAGGAATTAATAACAAAAGACAGGACTGCAAAATAGGTACACTGTGGGGGGTATTTGTTGGAGGGGGAGGGTGAATGAAGGAGACTAATGTGAGGGTATATGATTTGATGGACTTCATATATTTACACAAAATAGAACAATGAAATCTCTTACAATTGCTTTAAATGGGATGGAAGGGGTTAATGGGGAGGGATGGTGGGAACAATCTAACCAATGTACATTGTAAGCCTATTTGAAATTATCACAGCGAATCCCCCCCTGTATAAAAAATATATCCTAATAAAAAATTTTAAAAAAAAGGAAAACAATTATGAAAGCCACACTGTCAAGAACTACTATCAGGTGGGGGTGCGGGGATAAGGGTCCTAACACATCCACCCAATATTTAGATATTGGACCTCTGGAGTTGGACCTCTAAGTTTTTCTCTTCTTTTTCCTGGTTCTTTTACTTTCTGAAAGATTTACCTGTGTTATATACTGACAGATTCTTTCATTTCCGCTATTAACTGTTTCATGATAATACTGCCTTACCTTTATTCCTTTTTTATGCCATTTATATTTTGTGGAAACAACTGAATTTCTTTTCTTCCTGCAGATGTTAATGACAGGCCTCCCCTTCCATGCTTTGTGAGTTGGTTTCTTTCTACATTCTGGGCTGTCCTCAGATGCCTTTGCTACCTGCTGTTAAAAAAACCTTCCACCATGTCCCCAACTGCTTACCTTACAAGGCTGGAACCACCTCCCCCACCTCCCCACACTCCCACCCTACCAAAACCCAGGCAGAGTAGCCCTACCCCTGGGAATTACTGCTCCTCCACAGGACCTGCCCAGCCTCATTTCAGCCTCTGCCCCAGTACAGCGCCCTAAACAGCTAGGGAATATCATAACCAGCCTACAGCCAGAGGAGAAGCCTAGGCAATCCAGGGCTCAGCGGGGATTCTAAAACACAACAGAACCACAGACAGAACAGTGAGGGCCAGACACGAGAGAACACTACCTCATCCACTGCTCCCACACAGCCCAGCAGGCACACACTCTTCTCAACAAGGAAGAAAGTCTTTTTATTTTTTCTATTCCTCTTTTACAAATTTTTTGTTGGTAGTTTATTCTAGTTTCTTTTTTAAAATGTATTCTTTTCTATCTCTTTGCAATTCGTGACTATGGCATTTGAATCCACAGTAATTAGTCTATATTCCTGCACACAATTTTGTTTACATTCAACCCACACACTTCACTCTCCCCAGCATCATCTTCCTTATTCTATCACTCATCTGCCCTTTATTTTTACTACCTAATTTTTAAATCCCACACAGATAACTTTTTCTAACCCCCAAGTTTGGTACCACTAAGGACACTAGTCTCTTTCATATATAACATGACTGGTATGTAGATGAATGTCACCCATTATTTTATATTTCATGTAAATATCTGGTTTTAAATTAGTGAATTTGCTGAGCTATACCTCCAGGCCAACAGTGAGAAACTGCACATCAATAAATAAAGGACACACAGAATAAAGGACAAAAATATCATACGATCATCTCAACAGATGCA